TTCTCATCACCAAATCACCCCTGTGCCATCACCATAGTCCAGTGCACTTCCCCTCCACCCCATCATTGATCCCATTCTCCACACCACGCCCATAAAATGTTGCTGGTATATAGTTGTTCATTATTATTTCCCCCCCTGGTCTTTTAGAGCAATTTTACTTTTTATGCCACACAATAACTAACACAATTCTCCAACCACACTGGACAATTTTGGGATGGATCGATGCATGACTTCAGACACCAATAACTGAGCGAGTGTCGATCCCCACATCTGGAAGTGCAATGGTACTGAAATAGCCCACTTGCTTTCCTATTGTTCTGCTTATTCTCGTAATAGCACCCAGGGGGAACAGCACCTCCTTTGTTTTTGGTAACCCTGTTTTCCTAGATGATTCCTTCTTTTGATTGGGAATTTGCTTATTTCTTTTCCTGAACCAAGTCCTCTATCTCAGGATGTGGAGACTGTCTCCATAGAAAAAGGAGGTGACTGCCAAGGGAAGGGGCTAAGCTGGCTTGTGATCTACTGCCTCAATGAACAAGTTGTGCTCTACAGAAACTCCAGTGCTGTGTAAATAGCTAAGGTTCAAATGACATTTTAAATATCGATAGTTTGGCCTTTCTCCCTCCAAGGAGGTCCTTGGGCTGCAGCCATGGCAACCAGCCAGACGGCTTAATGCCAAAACCCCTCTTCCATAAGGACAAGGACTGGCAGCAGCGCGTAGCCACGTGACTCAAACAGCCCCATGATTTGGTGACCAGAAGCCTACGTAAGAGCAGCAGATGCAAGGTCTCGTGAGCTATGACGCGCCTCTCAGCCTAGCGCCCCACCCCACACTGCGTCAGGCCCCACCCTACCCATTGTGCGGTACCCCATGGTGAGGTACGATAATGGGGTGCACACCAGCAGGAGCTTCAGACTGCAAGAGTCTCTAGTGGCTGGCATCCACAAGAAGGTCGCCCGCAACATCGGGATCTTTGTGAACCCCAGAAGGCAGAACACGACCGAGGATTTCCTCCAGACCAACGTGTAGCGGCTGAAGGAGTACCGTTCCAAGCTCATCCTCTTCCCCAAGAAGTCCTTGGCCTTCAAGAAGGGAGACAGTTTTGTGGAAGAACTGAAGATGGACGGGAAGATTCCAGGGCCAGACAAGCCCATTGAGAAAGACAGCAAGGACAACGCCAAGGTCGACACTCAGGAGGAAGAGACCTACCTGGCCTTTAAGGGTCTTCCTCTGCCCCGCACCAACTCCCAGCTCTTCGACATCTGGGCTAAAAGGGTCATGGAAGCTGTGGGGCAGAATGTTGAAAAGAAAAAATAAAGTGCCATTGGCAATTTGAAAACGATGTATGTGTGTGGTGTCTTCATTTTTTAACTATAATGATAAATAAACATATTTAGGTGTACTTACCACATGAACCCATTGAAGACCAGTAAAGCACAACCTGACTTGTGCACTGAAAATCAAGGTTCTGGTACTAGAGATATAGTGAATGGAGACTAAGTGGGTGTTGAAATGAGTCTCTAGACCTTATCTAAATTTCATATATCATATAATGTGCCATTTACTGGGAAGTTTAAGTGAGTCCTGGTCCGTGTGTATGTGTGTGATTGAATTTCAGACACATCTCTTCAGCCCTTGTCCTAGGGCAGTAACAAGTGACCACATAAGCCGAATCCTGTATGCATAAATAAATCTTTAAAAAATAAAATATAAACCAGAATGTTGGAAAGACTGCTGATCTTTTTTAACTTGCAGACTTGTAGTAGTGTTGACTAGGATTGAGACTTTGACTCTAGGACTCAAATATGGGTTTTCATTTAGCAGAAAATTAGCGAATGGTAGATGAGCGCAAGGATTGCTTTTAAATAATGTACAACTGAAATCTGAAATGTCTGCTGATTTCATACCTTGCATGATTTTGTTTGTGGCCCATGAAATAGGTGACAATCATTGTGCCCCTGGCCCATCCTGAATGGCCCAGTGGGCTCCTTAATGATGAGTTTCAGAAAACACAAGCACTCCTGAATCACTGACTCAATATACATTGAACAGCTTGTATATTCTGATCACGGCATGTGGGGGTGGCTGCTGTGTATACATAAAGGCAATACCCTAATGCATTGAAATCAGAGTCTCTCGACATCCTGTTTACAGCTAAACATGCACAGGCCCACTGTGTCTATGAACCAGGAGGGCAGATGGCATTTGTGCTGCTCTGTGACGCTTTTCAGTTCGGCTTTTAAAAAGGGTAGCCTGGAGTATTTCTGCATAATGAAGACTTTTTATTTCCCTGTACATACTGGAAGGTTTTCCTATAGCCTTGAATATCAGCTTTTGAGTCCCTGAAAGCCCTCAGCACACAATACAGCTTTTTTCCCAAAGAGTACAGTATCAGGAAATTCTTCTCTGAGATAAATAACACAGTTTTAAAGTGATTGCAGAGTTCCTGAAGTTAGTAGGACTTTGGAGAATAAAGGACAAGTTGAACTTAGGGTACTTAAGACCCTTGTAAAAGTTTTATGGTTCTTTCATGCTTTTGCTTTTGTGTTCTAAAATGCAGAAAGACCTTGAGGGAGAGGAGAGGAAGCAAAATGTTATCAGAAGGAAAAAAATCTTATGAATGCTACCTGGAGGGGAAAATGTGAAACTGGATCTTAATTTCCTTTTTGTTTTGTAGAAGAATGTCACTGGCTGTGATAGATGAGGCCTGTGAAGGACAAAAAACGTTCCATATTTACTCCTTAACAGTCCCCAAATTCTACATATGGGGTGTTTTCCCACATGACTGATTGGACAAATTATAACTGACTGCAAAAGTCCTGGAGCGCCCCTTTTCTCCACTCACACATGTCATCCTTCCGATTCCTTATTACCAATCATTTATAACTCAGTAAATAAATATTTCTGTGATACCTACCATATGCCAGGAACAAGATAATGCTGTGAAGATACAAAGTTGGAGGTAACAGTGAACAAAACAGATACCTTCCTTTATCTCTTACAGTCTGGTGTTCACAGATAATAAAATCAAAACAGCGCAATATACTGCCAAGATGAGTAAGAGGCCATGGCAACGTGGAAGGCCTATGCTGGGCGTCAGGAAACAGGCCTCTGTAAGAGCAATCATTGAGTTGAAATCTGAAGGCCTATTCCAGGTAGTGGGAAGAACATGTAATAGGAGGAGCCTCAGGAAAAGGGAAGGTACCAGATTCCCTGTCCCATCCAAGGTAGGGTGGAGCTGAGCGGGAAGAAGCCGGTGGGAATGCTGGGAAAAGGGCTGGAGAGCAAGAGGACTCGGAGGAGGCATATGGAGCAGAGAGACATGTGAAGAAGCTACACTTGCTTCTCGACTTTGGACTTGTACCAGGGATTTCATGGACATGGAAGGAGACACTTGAAACAAACGTGGGTGGGACCCGTGGGAACGTTAACAATGGCAGATTTTATCTGGATTTTGATTTTGCCCTGTTCCTTTCACTTGCCTGGCCCTTTCTGCCCCTTTACTGGGGGCCCCACCAGAAGATACCTTAGGCTTCTGGTGAGTTTTGGGCCTCTGAAGACCTGCTTTGGAACAACCATATTTGTCTGGGCATTTTCTCATGAGTGGGATGGGTTATTACGGGTGTTTCATGTGGAAACAATATTATCCTTTCACTTCTCTTTATTGCACACTTATTTATTAAAATTCATTCCCATTAAAGGTCTTACACACTAGAATATGTTTCATCTTGATGTGGCAGATGGCAGAACCCATTTAAAACAGGCAGATTTGAGGGTGCTGAGGTACCCCTCCCTGTGCCTTGTTGAACCTTCAAAACAGCTCTGGGCTGTAATTAAAAGACCAAAAGAGAAAGCTGGAGGTGGGCTGAGGAGAATGTGAGGGAAAGAGGCTACAGGTGGATGCCTAAGCTGCTTTCTGGCCTCTTTAGGACAGTGGTTCCTATGTTAAAGAAAACAGGCAGCCATTGACGAGTTTGAAGGTTCTGATGGATGTTTAAAAAGGCCACCCTCATCATGCTTAGTGAAATAAGCCAGAAAGAAAAGGAAAAATACAGAATGGTTTCACTCATTCCAGGAGTATAAAGGACCAGGGGATAATAATAATTAATAATAATAATGATGATTAATAATAATAATGAACAACTATATGTCAGAGACATTTTATCAGGGTGGAGTGGGGAATGGGATCAAAAATGGGGTGGGGGGAGGGAAGTGCACTGGACTATGGTGATGGCACATGGGTGATTTGGTGATGGGAAGCCCACAGGGATTACAACTGAAACAGAAAAAGGCACAAAATGATGTAAAAATAAACTATTATATTATTGAAGAAAAAAAAGATCACCCTTGCAGCAGGGGAGCATATGATGGGCCCAGGTCTAAGGCTGAGGTTGTAGTCTTGTCAAGAGATTGTGGTAAATAGAGTCGTGGCAGATGAGATGGCAATGGACAGTTTCTTGAAATATTTAGACCAGTACTAAGGGCTGAACGGAATGAGCAATATGAAGGCATGGAGGATGATGCCAGACACCCTACTGGTTTGTAAGTGACTGGGAAATGGGACCATTAGCAAGATAGGGAGCAGGAGAGGAGGAGGAGGCTGTGTGTGTGTGTGTACAGGAAACAGAAGGAATTCATCACCTTCTTTCCAATCAAAATGCTGGCTTTTAGATTGTGACAGTTGGACATACATTTTACATAATCTCTCTCTACTGACAGGGTATACAGTAATTCACAGTAATTCACAAAATTCATAGATATTTCCTATCTTGGTTAAAAAAAAAAATTAAAAAATCTTAAGCTGTTGGGGTGGTAGCCAGGCAGCGGGTGACGTCAGTGACAACCTCTGTTGCGTCGTGAGTCACGTTCTTTGTGACGCACCGTCCTGCTGAGGTTACCTGGGCTGTGGACACCCGGCCCAAAGTTATCACCACCCTGCAGCTTCACGGTGGAGCGCCGCTGGCGGCTGCCCGATCTCGAGACACCAAGCTCCTCTACCATGGCTACTTCCTCCACCTCACACCGACCCATCAAGGGGATCCTCAAGAACAAAGGCGGCTCCGTGGCTTCTTCCGTCGCAGGTTCCGCCCAGCAGAGCAGCGGGACGATCCCAGAGATGCAAAGAAAGAAGTCCCAGAAGTGGGACGAGTCAAGCATCCTGGCCACCTACCGTCCAGCATACGGAGACCACGATTTAATGAAGGTCAACGAGCCCGGCGTCCCCTACTCAGGTGTTCAAGATGATAGCGAAGATGGCGTGAGTGACTTAGAAATAAAAGAAATGAACCGAGACCTGTTAGCCAAGAAATTGACCGCCACTGACACCTCGCAGCCTGTCTGTCAGACAGGGGGACTTGAAAGCCGATCACCACACACCACCAGTCAGATCATCTTACGACAAGAAAAGCAGCGGGAGTTTGAAATGAAGAGGAAACTTCACTACAACGAAGGGCTGAACATCAAGCTAGCTAGACAACTAATTTCGACAGATTTTCAAAATGAGGAGGCAAAGGATGAGAACGAAGAAAACCTCCAAGTCGAATCTGAAGACACCACCGAAGAATCAGACGCATCTTACAAGTAACAAACTGCAAAATTCAATCATAGATTGCACAGAAAAATATTTGTCTGAAGCTCTCGTTATTTGTCAGATACTAACCTTGTTCCAATAAGTGGTTGTTGCAATGCCCTGTAGTATGACACCTCACATACTAACACACTTAGCAGTTTATGTACTGCAGGATACAATGGTAAAATTAGAAAATAGATGAAATGAAAACTGCGTAATTACGATTCTTGTGTCCCTGAACTCACCACCAGTGGATATTGACATTAGTCTAAACTACTTTTTAAAAGCTATTACTTTATGTATATGTTATATAGCTTTTGATATGTTAAAGGTTTAAAAGGAGACTCACATATATACTTCTTAGATGTACTAGCTTTTATAGAAAAGTTTTTGTTAGATAATCAAAAGGGAATTTGTCTAGTAGTTGGACACAGTGATAAACGTTGAGGGAGACTTGCCTGGTTAATTGGGAGGGACTCTTAAGGATTATTGTTGCTTTTCTTAAGTGTAATACTTTTAAGTTTTCTCTGTTTACCAAATATTTTCTCATCAAAAATAGTCATTTTGATGAATTAGCAGGTAAAATCGCACTACTGTCTGTTCTGTATCCTGTTTTGTACACTAGGCAGCAGACTTGATAGCAATATTTTAAAAAGTCAAAGTTGCTATCAGTAGCCTTGTCTCATATGGGCCTTAATGCTACCCTTTGCTTCCTCTGTCCTCAGAGCCCATATAAACTACCCACCGTAGGTACTAGAAACTACCAAGATGTTAAGAGCTGTCCAGTTTGGCAGTCGTGTCATTTCTGTTTTAGCCAGGATGACCTAGTTGGTCATCTAATTCGTGGAGAAGACAGATGGAATAGCATAAGTGTTGGAGTCAAGAAACAGAATTCAGCTGTTTAGTTTCTGCATTTTTGTGTATATTTGTTTACCTCTTGCTTAACAACTTCCTATTATGAATTTGTTTCACCCAATTTGCTTTTAGAAAACAACTGAGGGAAAGTGGTGGGGAGGGAGGAGGGGGAGGAGGGCTTGGAGGGTGGAATCTGGGGGATGGGGCACCTGGATTGTTTCCAGGGTTCTGTGTCACAAATCTGCTATGAACATGCAGATACCGGTTTGGGGGTGCCACGCACTATGGGGGAGCACAATGGGTGCTTTGGTGGTGGGAGGATGATGGTGACCACACCTGAGGAAGGAGAGAATCCTACAATTGCAAAACACTAACATGGTCAATCACATTTTTAAAGAACTATTTTGAAAAAGAAAAAAACAAAAGTTTTTGATGTGGTTCAATTTATCGGGGATTTTTTCCCCTTTACACATGAATCTTTTGATATTCTAGTCAATTATAATCCAGAAAGCAAGCTTTTCCAACCATGATTTCCCAATTTAGTCATATACTATTGAACTTTACAGAAAAAAAAAAAAGACCTTTATTGAATGAGATTTTTCCTTTGGAGGAAGGAATCTGAATATTCAGTTCCAGTTTCCACTATCAATGTCACCTCCTCTGCTTAACTCTTTTGATGTCACTGTTTGCTCACTCATTTTTCATTTTGAAATTCATCAAGGCTGGCTATTTAAAAGCAAGGGTATATAACAGTATAAATGGATTGTTAGTAGGAGTAACTTCCACTTGAAGATTAAATGTGTTCTCCTAGACTTTGAATATATTCACATTTTTTCTCTACACCAGTATATTAAATAGCATAAAATAAAACAATAATATGAAGAGAATGATTGTGAAGAGCCTCCAAATTAGTTGTTTTAAATTGCAACCTGCAATTTTCCAGATTGAACTCAAAGGATCTTAATAGTTTTAGTAAAATAATTTTTTTGATCTTCATGTGCAACAATCATTTACATTTTAAAGTAAATGACGAACATGGTTTGAAGCATTGATTGGGAGAGAGTGGGCAAGGTATCGGGTGAGGGGCATTGTAAAAATGAAAGGAGAGAAAGAGTTGGGAGTGGAGGAGAGAAAAAGCAAGAAAAAGTGATTCAGTTGAAGAGCTTTAAAAGTTATGACTGGCGGCCCTCCCTGGTGGCGCAGCAGGTTAAAGCACAGCACTGAGAATCTAAAGCCGCTTCCTCATGAGTTCAATTCCCGCCTGCCCCGGAGGTGACC